TCCAGTAGCTCACTTTGATGAAGCTGCAGTTTGGCAAAAGCTGACCCTTTGCATCCTAAGATCAGTCGGGTGATAAGCTCTGTCACACGGCCTTTTGGCCAGGCTGCATAGACAAGTTCCACCTTCTGTTGGTATACCAAGAGGTCATCAACTCCTGGGTCAAACGTCGGCACCAAGGACGATAGCTGGTTGCTCACGCAATTGGTCGATTGGGCTTCACCTGATTCAGCTGCTGCTGTCTCCATTTCTCCTGGATGCTCCAAACTGGAGCTCCGCTACCAGTATGAATGGCAGCAACCAGCAGCTTAAGCAACACCTGTTTATGATGAAGTCCTTGAATTAAATTGCACCAAAACTGTAATTGGTTACCAACCTCCGGAAAACAATTGGTGGCACCAAATCCCTGTCCACAGGTATCCGCTATCTTTCTGTTTTCACCCAAGCTGACCACAGCGTTCCAACGATCTCGAACGGCCACGTCCACAAGCAAAACGAAAAGGGTGACGCCTGTCACGTCCTATGGCTAGAAGAAGAACTCTTTGAAGTGTGATAGCGCCGCCAAATCGACGCACCACAGCGGCCGCAGCCGCTAATCACCAGCTGCAGCGCCAGCGCTTGCCGCTCCAACAGCAGCAGCACCAGCAGCAGCGCCAGCGCTTGCCGCTCCATCAGCGGCAGCATCATCAGCGCTAGCGCCATCACTTGCCACCTCCACATCATCAGCGGCGGCACCATTTGTTCTGTACAGCGCGTCCCACAACGCGTGCTGCACGCAACCTAAGTACCTAAGAATTTCAGGATCGTTGTCCCATCCAAATCTCCAAGAGATAGCCTTGATGGGCATTGGGTGTGGCCTTAGATCAGCAACCGGACTGGCAGGACAGTGCCAGGCAAGATGTTGCCAGGAACCAAGGGTGTTGTGACAAAAGGGACACAATTCGCCCCTCCAAGCAGGACTCACACTGGCCCCAACTGACACTGTTCTGCAACCAGCATTGGTCACGTCCTATGGCTCTAAGGCTAAGTAGCCCTCCCGCCCTTCATCCAAGCTCTCCTGAGCCAGTGCCTAACGGTGAACAGGTTTGACCAATTGAAGACAAGTGACCTGAGGCAGCTTAAATGGCAAAATCACAACCTATATATATATTATATATATATATATATATTAGAGTTACAGTATATGATGTTTACATAATGTTATTATATGCTGTTATATTATATCAACATATATAACAATGTTTTATCGTATGTCAGTTGTGCCATGAAGGTCCCCACCTCCGAGCTTCACTGGAACGACCATGCTGCGAGCTTCGCTCGCGTCGCTCGGTAGGTGGGCTGTAAACCTTCGAAAACCGGGCGAAGATGCTGGAATCGAGGCACCAAAATGCTGGGTTAGGCCATTTTACACCTTGGAAAAACCAAGGTTACAACATGTTACAACCAGAAGCTATTCCAGATTCCAAAGCACTGAGACATCCCGTTGATTCGAATGGTTTGGGGATGTGAAGAAGGGCCCTCCTGCGAATTACATCAAAGCATTGGTGAGGCCACCACACATTTTGAGATGAGAAATTTATCCTCTAGCGGCAAAAAGGACCTGGGTTTACTATTTTTTTTAGTGGCTCTTCCTATTTTGTTGATCATTTTTAGGGTGAACTCAGCAACAAGTAAACGATGAATTACTTAACCAATACCCAGCTGTTCAGATCAACGGATGCTCTCACTTATGGATGTTCCGTTATGATCCCATTAGTAGCCCCAAAATGTACTGTGTTTCATGGCCAATCTTGTGCTACCTTCCAAAAACAAACAATCAGCTGATTTGTTGTTTGGTCAATGGGAATTTCAGGATCCTAAAATGGAGGTACTGTACCATATAAAACCATATTTTGTTGGGATATTCCCTTACATAGGCCTTATATAGGCCTTATATATGGTAGGTACCTCCAATTTAGGATCCTGAAATTCCCATTGATTTGGGGAACAAATCATGAAAGTCAAGTATTCAGCTGCCCTTCACCAAGGTCCAGTTCTAAGTTCCCCCACCCTGCCGCGCTGCTCGTAGCGCTCACCGCGCTCGCCGTAGCGGTCACTGCTCCGCACGTCCCGCACGTCCCGCACGTCCCGTGCGTCCCGCGGCCGCGCGTCGCGGCTCCTGGCTTTGCCGTTGAAGTCTTGTGGATGATGATCCAATTACCCATCATTAACCATCATTAACCATCATTAACAATCACTAACCATCATATCCCCATGATATTCCCATAATTATCCAATAATAATCATAATTATCCAATAATTATCCAATAATCATCATTATTATGGATCACAACTAATAATTGGTCATTTCCAATAATGATCCAATAATTATCTATGACGGATCCATGGTGCTGGCATATAATATGCTCACATTGGGGGTATATTGATGGGATCCATGTTACCATATATAGCAGCACCATGGATCCTATGGGTTATGACAATAATAATTATTTCGTTGAGAATTAAATTGCGAAGCCCAAATTCTGGTTGGATATGGTTGGCCTAATTTGACTTTTGCAAATCTTAGGTATCCTGTTGCAAAATGCCTCGCAAACAAAGCCTGGTGCAGAGTAGGTCTCGTTATCAAGGTTGTGTTGTAGCTAGTTGGGTGAAGACGAGTTGGTAGTAGTTGGTAACTCCACTAACTAGGGTTCATGGTAGATATATCTATAGTTACTATGGTTTATAAACCAACTTGTTACTGGGGGAAGTTAAGGTCAGATGGTAAGCTCAACTGCAAGGTCAGGCCCTCAAACGATAGCTAGCTTGGTGTATCCCTGGAATGACCATGGTTTGTGGCGCAAAGATCAAACCCCAAACAATCCGCTCGTTGGAACCAGGTGGCAACGCGCAACGACATTTTACCTCATGTTCTTTGCTCAAATCGCCCAAGCTCTCTGGCGCTCCTTTCGCGAGAGTCACCCCGCCGTCCCCAGCCGCCCATGGCATAGCGGCAAGGGCTCCGTCAGATGGGTGTGGACATCTCAAAGAAAACCGAGCAGCCCCGGAACAGGCCCAAGTCATTTTCGGCTGAATATGACTGAATAAACAAGAATCTGAATGGAACTTGAGGAGTAATGAGCACTTATTTATGATGACATGGTTGTCGTTGGATTTCAATAGAAAATGCTCCATTTGTAGTTGATCTTCCCATTAAACCTCCATTTAGGGGATTTCCAGTCGTTTCCAGTTGCCATATTTGATTGCCTGAGGTTATTGGTCATTTTCAGTTGGGTGTGTTGGTCTCTAGTTTGGACTTAGGAAGCCTTGGAAGTTTGGGCTATGCACAATTTGGCTCCATATTTAGGCTGAGGCTTGCGATGCAGCACAAAGAGGTCAGAAATCAGGAGAATTTTGTTGCATATACATTCATATTCCTACCATTTAGTACCCTCATATGACTCATATTCGTATTTGTCCCTGAAACATGTAAATCCGAGCATTACAAGCGCTCATTTCTTGCGATAAGCTGGGGGCAATACGCAAAAAACGAAATCCCAATGTTTGACGTTTGAATCCATTATCTCTCGAAGTGAATTTTCACTGGAACACCATCTGCAACGGAAGACCATGTGATGGCTCCCCAAAACTAGTAAATCTGGGGTAAATCTGGGTAACACAGGATTGATTGTAGGATGAGTGATGAGTTTTCCGACTGATGAATATGATTGATCAAAAGAAAATAATCAGCTCAATCATTCATGGATCTGAGGGAAAAATTAGAGGAAACGCATAGGCATAGTTTCTTATCAAAGAGGCGGAGTTTTCATCTCAAGTCTCTCATAAACCAAGTATCAAATGATAGCACTGTAACACTCTGAACAAGATATGATAGACACAAAACCAGGACATTTGTAACTTTGTAGACGAAAGCCTTTGTTTTCATCTTCCAAACCAACCTTGTAATTGTCCGGAGATTTAGTGATTATTCCATCTTTGGAATTTTCTGGAGATCTGGTGATTAATAATGAATATATATATATATATACACATGTATATAACTATATATAACAGCCTCTGGTAATTTAACACTTCGCCATGGAAAATCCACCCATTTTTAAGAACGGTAAACCATGGAAATGCCATGAAAATGCTGAAGCCAATGGCGTAGATTTCTGGCTGGATTTCTGGCCGGAAACGGTCATGGGTTTCCCCACCAAATCATTCACCAAAGTAAAAATCCAGTAATATTCATGCCTTAAACACCCAATAATCCCACAGAATCCCATATCATCCCCACTATTTTTTCAGTTGAGTGCCAGTTTGTCTTGCGATTTTTCTTCATTTTTTGGCTCTTTGGTCGTTTGCAGGTCAGATGGTCAGCAATTTGAGAGGGCAAGTTCCGTTCACTGAAGGGGATGAAACCCGGTATGGCTATGGGTCAAATTTGATGTGTGTATATATCATATAATAGTATAAATATATGTAATTAATATAGAGGCCCCCAGTTATGTTTGTTGGTTTATTATATAGACACCATTATGACACCATTAAGTATTGCTTACATAACCATCTATAAAGCCTAGTCAACCATCTTGTAAGTCAACTATACCCTATTGGGTACAGTAAACGTTTACAACATATTACAAAATGATGCTGCTCGAACCCACAGGGAAGCCCGTCATGAATATTAATGGTGACTTTTCCACATCTGCGAAGGAACTTTCCCCTTAAAACATGCCAACTCAGGATCAGCTACCGAACGACATTCCAGCAGAGGTACATCTTTTAACGATGTGACCCCCTCAATTTGATCTTGGGTCCGAAAATAGCACTAGCTTTGACCCCACATGAAACGTAGAAAGACATTGATCATGTGGAAATACACTAAAGTAGCTACACGTTTTCTTGAACAAACCAGCATGTAGTCATGTAAACACTTTATAGGTTGAAGAAACCCAAGACTAGACATCACTGATCTTTCCATGATGTTGACGATGACACAGCATATCTCTTAATTTCCAGGCTTCCAACTTTCCGAATCTATCATGGAGGGTTGCTGTATGCATTTTTCATGTTTCTGCGAAAGGTGATGTACCTTTCGCCCTTTTTTGGTGCACGCGTCACATTGGATTTTTGGCAGCTTTGAATGAAAGCTGCACGAGTACTCCTTTGTGGGTGGGCATATCAAGGATTTCCACAGTTTCAAAGAAGATGTTGTTTCAGACACTTTAGGACCAGCTTGCACATTTATTTTAGGGCGGACGCTCTGTTTAAGCATCGCCCCATCTGATTCGAATCTATACTGGGCTTTTCCCATTGCCATCACGGCAGCCTGTGCGGCAGGCAGGAGGGGTTGGAAACCTCTAACCACAGATGGCAACAGAAAACCAACAAATTCATTGACACTGTATACATCTGTATACCCAATGAGTTAGAATGATATGTTCCAAATTCTGTTTTGGATGGTTTCCACCACAGCAACTTCCAGTTAGCACCAAATGTGAGGTTAGAACTACGAAGTGCTACTCACAACTGGGCTTTGCTGAGACTTACAAGTGACCAGAGTCATAGTCAAATCTTAAAAACCCTCTGGTAATTTAACAGTTTGCTATTGAACATTGCCATTTAGTTCGTTGATTTACCTATAAAACATCAGGATTTCCATAGCTATGTTAGTTTACCAGAGGATATTAATCCATTAATGGTCATATTTATTGATATATCAAGGGGATATCAAGGATATTAATGCTGGATATTGATATCCATGAATCTGGAAATATCTGGAAATATTTATGTGACATATACCCTGCATTTTTTCTTCCAAGCTTGACCCTGAAGGGCCCCAAGGGCCCCAACGAAGCTAACGCTTCGCAGTCTTCGCAGTCCAGCCGCTGGAGCGTAGCCTCGTGGAGAGGGCGAGACATGAAAAAGATGGGGTTGTCTCAAAAAATGAGTCTTCCTAATAGATGGTAAACATAAATAGTAAACCAAATAGATGTTACCAACCAGTTTGCCAATCTAATTTCTGAATAGATAGTAACATTGGTAAATATTAGATGGGATATATCTTCCTAATAGGTAGTAAACCAATCACATATAAATAAAAAACCAATGGCAAACCATTTTAGATGGACAATCATAGGTAGACAATTTACTATTTGTATATAGATGGTAAATCAATCATATAAATTATATTAAATGAATTGATATCAATAGGAGTATTTACTGTAGGATTGTTAGTATCTACATGTATATTATTGGCTTCGATTTATAGATGAATATAAATGGTAGGATTGTGAATAGGAGTATTTATTATTCACTATAGGATGGTAAAACCAATAATTAATCATCCTTGATATTACCATCGCTGAGTGGTACATGGTGGTACACATCATCCGGAAATGGTAGGCTTATTCTTGCGTTTACCATATTATATAGTCTGCCCCAAATTTATCCAAAATTGCAGCTTAATTGGGAACCATCATGATACACCAGTGGATATTTCAGGGGTACCTGATTTTCAAAATCATATATGGAGGTTTCCTAAGTCATGGGGGTACCCATTTTTCATCCACAATGAAACGATATTTTCATATTGAAACCGGTGACGACTGGGGACCCACTATTTAAAGAACCCCCTCCGGACAGCTGTTACTGACTGTCATCTGTCAGCCAATAGATGGACCTTCCCTAATTTTGCTTGGTGAAACCCACATAAATTGGTGAAACCAACATGCTGAGTTTCGGGTTTTGATCCAGTCGATTGATTTCCCGCCGGCGGTCTATTCATTTAGTTCTTGCGAGAAATCGTCGTTGTCTTCGTCGGCGTCGTCGTATAGTCAAATTGCTGGGCCCCGGACGCACAAGGCTCTGGGGTCAAAGCTGAAGCTGCTTTCGCTCGACGGATGGAGACATGGGTACGACGAGCTTTCGTACGGCTGCCTGGCGGCTTCGGTTTTATTGGGACTGCCTCCGCGCTGCCAATGTCCCGGCCTCCACGCCGACATGGTACGGCCCCCCCGACATTGTTGGGGGGTGGGACCCGTCTATGGCACTTTGCTCAAGAACAGCTTAGGGCTGAATGTTCAATGGCATGTGCAGCCTGTGCTGGCGTGCTGCAAAGTCAAACTTTTCAACACTGCAGCTCGGTAGGCTAGCTGTGTGCAGGCTAGTTCCTGCTTTGGAGGCGTACATACACTATAGTTATAGAAGGTTGCCAGGTTATAACCGGATACCAAATCGTCTGACAGGCCATCATTAAGATATGAGTTCGTCAGTTGGGGATTATTCTTCCCAATATATGGAAAAATAAGATTCATGTTCCAAACCACCAACCAGTTATTTATATATCATTTCCACATGTTTTCAGGTGTTTTTTAAAATGTCAACCCCGGATTAATCAACCCCTAGGCTGTTCAATTGGGGGGGATACCATTTATGTATCATATTGTGACTATTTGGAGGGTACCCCCACAATTAATAAACCATGGTTTATTAATCCGGAGTTGACATCGTTTATTAATTTATCAGATATATCATTGGTGACATCCCTATGATATAGCATCATTAACCATCATTAACCATCCTTAACCATCATTAACAATCACTATATAACCATTATATCCCCATGATATTCCCTAATTATTTCAGCATATTCATCATTAACAATCACTAACCATTATATCCCCATGATATTCCCTAATTATTTCAGCATATTCATCATTAACAATCACTAACCATTATATCCCCATGATATTCCCTAATTATTTCAGCATATTCCCATGAGGATCTCATCATTAACCATCATTAACAATCACTAACCATTTTATCCCCATGATATTCCCTAATTATTTCAGCATATTCCCATGAGGATCTCATCATTAACCATCATTAACAATCACTAACCATTATATCCCCATGATATTCCCTAATTATTTCAGCATATTGGCTGTTCAATTGGGGGTGATACCATTTATGTATCATAATGTGACTATTTGGAGGGTACCCCCACAATTAATAAACCATGGTTTATCAATCCGGAGTTGACATTATTTATTAATTTATCAGATATATCATTAGTGACATCCCTATGATATAGCATCATTAACCATCATTAAGCATCATTAACCATCATTAACAATCACTAACCATTATATCTGGGTAAATTATAATATTTCACTAACCTGAATAGTTGGGCCATTTGGGGATGATTCCCCGCAATCTAACCATGATTCCAGTGAGGGAGAACAGTGAGGTCGTTATAATTTACCCAGACTAAATCCACAAATGGCTGCCTCTGGTAATTTAACATAGCTATTGAAAATTGCCATTTATAGTGGATGTTCCCATTAAAAATGGTGATTTTCCATAGTTATGTTAGTTTACCACTATGATATTCCCTAATTATTTCAGCATATTCCCATGAGGATCTGGCTGTAGATCAGTGTCCAGGTCATCCAAGACGACCCGCTCATCATCAACCTTGAAGGCACCAAAATGATGTGTTTGGGCGTAAGAAAAAAAACAAACTTTGGGTATTTAAATGTGGTTTAATGTGGTTTAATGTGGTTTAATGTGGGTTTTAATGTGGTTTAATGTGGTTTAATATGGTTTAATGATGTTTAATGTCTGTTTAATGGCTTTCTAAATAGACATTTCTGTTTTATTTTATTGATTGATATGGATCGATATTGAAAAGGCACCGTTAAAGTATAATTTGTGGATCATTTCAACTTCTGATGGGAAACCAGGGGTCTTCAAAGTTTTCCATATCTATGTTGTTTCACTGGAGATCTAGATACTGTAAGGCAAACCCTGGAATCAAACACTCCAGCAATACTAGATCTTGGTGAAGATATTAGCCATGGAAAATCACCGTGCTATTAATAGCTATTTAAGTTCTGCTAAACCATCTATTTCGATTAGGGCCATCTATACCATGGCAAACTGTTAGTCATAACCAGATATTACGAAAATCACGACCTTTATTCTGTAGGTCGAACCTATCTGCTGGATCCTTTGAATCTGAGCACGTCAGGCCGTTTCGAAGGATTGTTGGTGGGACTCGGCTAGTGAGGCCATCAATGGTTACTGGTTGGTGGTTGACTAACCATCTTGGAAAATGATGGAGTTCGTCAATGGGAAGGATGACATCCCATATATGAAATCGAAAATAAACCATGTTTGAAACCACCAACCAGATAACGTTTGCCCACATGAACAGCTACTCACACTGAGTACCTTTGGCCTTCACAGTTGATCCGCTAGCACAGAGAAGCCAAAACAACAAAATGATTGCGTTGTTTTTATAACACATATCGTAGTCACTTCATTTTTTTCCTGGATAAGCTTTCCCACCAAAACAGAGTCAACCTTAATGATAACTCATGTTCAGTACCCATTCGCCAGCACGTTTACTCAGAACAGGGGTCTTGGCTATGACTCAGCTGCAAAAGATCTCCCTCGATGATATGAAACATCCTCCCAGTAATTTCCTGAAGTATTCCCAAACTAGCCAAACATCTATCCTTCTTTCCAAATACTGAGGAAAACTTGTTGTGCCCAAACGTTTGGCACACCTAAAATCCGCGACACCCCAAACCGTGGCTTCCCCCGGCTGATAAAAGCGTTGTGAGCAGCCTGAAAACAACCCTCCACCGTAAAGCTAGGTATGATTTATGGTGTAGTTGATTTAACATCGGCCTTGTCAGGTAATTATATAGATCATTACCAATGATGGGACACCCCATATACCCATGGTTGCTGCATATACATCAGAGCATATCGCAGCTATAATTTGACTTGCCATGTCGAATGCTAGGAAACCAAATGGAATGCAGGCTGAAAACCAGCATCCATCAACAGAATTACGGAACTAGGGGTCAGCCTACCGACAATATGACCAATTCTGGTTACTTCTGGACTTCCTTATGATCTTATGGTTCCTATTTGTTCCTGTGACAAATACAGTAACCTGGGAACCAATGTCCATTCCCTAGTTTCTTGGATCAATTCAATAAGATTGTCAGCCGCTTCCCAGCTGATCTTCGATGAGAATAGAAAATTAGGTTCTAGATGGGATAGTTGGTTCACTACTTCCCCTCTTTATGGCAACGTATAACAACCCCTAAACCTCCCCTTCACCAATGGCTTTGGGCCTTACCAAAACCTGAGTGCTCGGCGGAGGATAGAAGCTTCGCATCTGGGTCTGGATCCATATCTGGCCACGATGTCGAAGCCAAGTGCTGACATTTTCATCCCAGTTTGTAAGATGTTGGTTGCTATTTTTGGGGGTTTCCATAAATGGTACCCCAAACATGATAGTTTATAATGGAAAATCTTATTTAAATGGATGATTTGGGGGTACCCCCATTTCAGGAAACCTCCATTTTTGCTTCTAACCGATTTTTAAATCAAAGTCTGTCTATAGGAAGACCAGTTGGACTGGACTTACCAGCCACCGATGCAACTTACTGGAGAAAATTAATCGGTTTAGCTCACCCTCAAACAATTGTCAACACGAACTCTCCCTCTGGTAAACTAACAAAACATATAACTATGGAAAATCACCATGTTCAATGGGTAAATTCACTGTAAATCACCAGTTTCAATAGCTATGTTAAATGACCGGAGGGTAGATAGTCAAGACATGTTTGACAAGATGAACTGTATATCGATACACGATGTATTACTCGATTCTCCCAAACAACATGCTATTGCTGGTCGGAAGAAGTTTCATCGGACCCATCTCAAAGTCATGGTCACGTCTCAAAGCTTTTCGTCCACCTGTCAACAGCAGTAACTAGTGTTTTGGAGGGCAAACTTATGGGTCAAGCGTATTCAAACGTAGTGGATTTCCTCATAGGACATGTTTCGTGCCCAAAACATCACCAGAACAGGAGTATGGTTTAATTATATCTAATTCATGTACGACATATTCTGGTTGGTGGTATACCTACCCCTCTGAAAAATATGACTTCGTCAGTTGGGATGATGACATTCCCAACTGAATGGAAAGTCATAAAATTCATGTTCCAAACCACATTTTTTCTCATAGTTACTATATAAATCACCATTTTCCCATGGTTTTCCTATGATATACCATTAAATACATATTACTCCAAACCATATCATATATCTATTATGTGTTGTGCACAATTTAAACGTTAAATAGATATATACCATGATACATTCCGTGAAAATTCCAAACCACACGAACTTCTCCCATTTTTCGCACTTTACCGATCCAATGGTCCAATGGTCCATGTGGTCAACGGTAAACCCAATCATAAATCATCAGCAAAATCACCAAACAGTTTGGTGGTATAAACACACATAAACACCATCCCCAGTCATGGGGATGGTTTACGGCATTGTATAGGGCATGAGGGGTTGCCCACATCTAACTAAAATCAACGATTTCATCGAGGACTTTGGAACAATCAGCACCAGATGACGCATTGCCCCATGTAACGATCGACCCATCTGCGACAATCGCAGCAAATGCTCTGCATGTGGCTTGAATCTGCTGCACGTTCCTTAGCTGAGCCTGGACTTCAGAGCTGTCACCACCGGAAAGTGGATCACCCCAAGTCACTACTGACCCATCTGCCCGGATCGGAGCAAATGCAAAATATGCGGCCTGAATCTGCCGCACGCTCTTGAGCTGACTCTTGACTTCGTAAATGTCTACACCACAGCCTAAATCACCCCATGTTACTACTGAGCCATCAGCAAGGATTGCAGAAAATGCATTGTGCGAGGCCTTAACCTGCTGAACATTCCTAAGTTGATCCTGAACTGCTGAGCTATCACCGCCTGAATGTCGATCTCCCCATGTAACAAACGATCCATCTGCAAGGATTGCTGCAAATGCAAAATGTGTCGCCTGAATCTGCTGCACATTCTGAAGTTGATCTTGGACCGCCCAGCTGTTACCACCGGAAAATTGATCACCCCAGGTCACAACTGACCCATCTGCCAGAATAGCGGCAAATGCTTTGTGTGACGCATGAAGCTGCTGGACGTTCCTGAGATTTTCTTGGACTTCTGAGCTGTTACCGCCAAAGCCTCTTTCGCCCCAGGTCACCACAGATCCTTCGACAATTGCAGCGAAAGCAGCACCTGTGGCTTGAATCTGCTGCACATTCTTGAGTTTGTCTCGGACTGCAGAGCTGTCACCACCGCAGCCTGGACGGCCCCAGGTCACTACTGACCCATCTGCCAGGATCGCGGCAAATGCAAAATGTGTAGCCTGAAGCTGCTGCACACTCCTTAACTGATCTTGGACTGCAGAGCTGTCACCTCCATGAGTTCGACTGCCCCATGTGATAACAGACCCATCTCCAAGGATGGCAGCGAATGCCGCGCCTGTGGCCACAATCTGCTGCACATTCCTCAGTTGGTCTCTGACCATAGAGCTGTCGCCGCCATATTCTGGATCACCCCATGCAACGACACTGTTCCCTCCAATGCGCCAGAGTGCAAACGCTCTGCCAGTTGCTGCAAGTTTCGCTTGTTGCGCAATGGCTGTAAGCTGGTCTCCATCTCTAATCCCGGCAGCGTGCAGAGGTTAGGACACGCCCATCTGCAGCCACAAGCCTCAGGAATCCCTGTCTAAGGGATGTCTGGGCCAGAAGCTTCAAGTCCCCTACTTTGGAGGACTGCTCAATTAACAGACTCTCTGTGCGACCACTCGGCAAGGCTACATGCACACGAATCATCTTCTTTCAAAGTGGCTGTGGGTCAGATATGCCAAAATTGGATTACTCCGATAGTGAATTTATCCTCCGGTAATTTTATGGAAAATGCTTCATTTGTATTTTCATGGTTTTACCTTTTTATTTACCTATCGAACATGGTGATTGTCCATAGCCATGTTATAATGTTTACCCAGAAGATATTTTCTGGAGGCTTACAGCTGGGAACATCTAGGGATTTTCCAGCCATGGATTGGAAGGCTCCGGAAGTTGGTAGATGAAGAGTTCGAGCCCAAAGCGAAAAGGCAAACAAACGCCACGAGCCGTTTTGGGGGATGTCCAAGCGATGTCAAGCCGTTTCGGTATTTGAAAAATGGCTACTCGACCTGGTTATAAAAAACATATATGGAAGGCATGGTCCAGAAGAAAAACGACTGTAAAAATGACGTTCTAAAAGATGGTGATTTTCTACTTCGCCACGTTAAATTCCTGACCATGGGATCCTGTGGTTCCAAAATTTGAGACAACCCAGTTGCAGTTGGAAAAGAAATTGATGTCGACTTTGACTTCCCAAAATGTGAACATGCGGGCAACATAAACATTGGTTGTGCATGTTTTGATAATTCAAAGCACATCCCAAACCCGTGCTATATATGTGTGTGTGTATAATATAAACCAACCCCAAAATATAGAAAGAAACGTGGGAAGCCTGGAAATATACTAAATATAATCTATACAGGATGCTGCCCTTCAGTTTTAAGTTGGTTTATAATCCCATCTAAATATAGTTATTTGTGTATCATACACCAACTTGTTATTGTAGTTATGTTCACCAACTTATCTAACGAACTTTTTCCCCATCCTGTAACCTCCTGCAAACACTTGTCCATCTCGTTTTCGGGATGGCGCCTCGCAATATCAATGTCTCTATCCCATAAGATCCATCCAAGCTTAGAACCTTACTCCATGGATACGTTTTATGAGACACTCAAATTTATGGGGATCAGATACAACACTATCCCACCATCCGCAAGCATTAAATTGTTTAACAGCTATCTATCCGAAATTTCAATGTGAAAAACACGAGATGGGAGCGACTGATGGCCCAATGTCTTCATCCCAAATCTCTTCAGATCTTGGCTTCGGCAGGATCCATGTAGTAATTTACGAAAAAGGACACAAGGTTTAACATGTGAAAAACACTCCAAATTTGGTCAAAAAGTCATCTTTGCCAGTTGTAGACACGTCATGGTTGGGTTAGTCCTTCACTCCAGGAATTAAGTAGCAAGTTGGGCAAGCACTGCACATGCTGAATCTGAAGAATGAAATTAGGGTGAAGAATGAACAGATGTGGCAATTCCAATCTTAATCCATGTAAATCCTAATCCTAAGAATTTATGGAATATGGTGAAGTAGATGGTGTGTAGCTAACTGGCTTGTGTCACGAAACAATTCTGGGTACATGGGTTGTGTGTGATTATGTGTCATTCAGCAATAAGACTGCTATTTTCCTGGATAAAACATTGCATGATCATACCCATTCATATGGCTTTGTTCCACCAAGCCAAGTGTGAGGGGCCTCATAGCCCAACTATTTCCAACTTATGGAGATTAGAATCCCATGGTCATATAATGACATGCTTGGAGGATCATCCCACTTAGCAACTGGTATTTATGATATTTATTGATTATATTATATTGATATTTATATCATTTCATATCCCAGTTAATGTCAACCCTGGATTAATAAACCCCGTTTACGGCTGTTGAATTGGGAAGCTACCATAAAAAAGTATCAGTTTATGACGGGGAAGTACCACCCTAATCGTCATAAACTATGGCAACTATGGTTTAGCAAAATCAGGGCTTGACATTAATCATGTATCCCTATACGGTTAATTATGTATGGTAAAACTGTAAAACTATGGTTTGTTAATTATCCATGGGATCATCTTAATCGGGGACTTCAAAAACCGCCATCATCAGCCGCATCCCACGGCCTTGCCGCTTTGCTGCCTGGAAGCAAGGCGCGATATGTTTTGTTTGGGTCCAAGGAAGATAGAAGTGCAAATTACGATGACTTGTCTTCTTATAAATATAGAATCACTAATCCCACAATACTCATTGACTTTTCGATCTTTGTGGGGTAGTGTTCCCATTCGTGTTCCCACCAGTTGGACAGAGAAGTCAGTCAGAATTTGGTAATCCAACATTTTCTGGTTGGTGGTATACCTACCCCTCTGAAAAAAATGAAAGTTGGTTGGGATTTTTTATTCCCAATATATGGAAAATAAAGAATGTTCCAGACCACCAACCAGATTTTGTGGTGCTTGCCCTTGAAATAATTTCCCTGTAACACCCTGGTTCACCCACACATTCAAAGATAGAAATACAAAAAGGGAAAGATGTCGACATCTTGTCAAGCTTCTTTTCCGGGGAAAACACAAAGTTATGTTTGTTTTTGCACATACGTAAGTTTCAGGGTTTAGGTTTTAGGATGTTTTAGGGCTTTAGGCTGGAAGCTTTTGGTTTTTAGGCTCTGCTGCTTCAGGTTTTGAAGTTTCCATCAGTTTGTTCGAGAAAACCCAAAGAAAGAGTTTGGATCCGCATCAAAAGAATGTTCCTTTGGCGACAACCGTTTTGTTTTGCAGATTTTTCCTCCCTTTTTGGGGGGTCGGAAGATTACCCCGAAGTTTGATGGTGTACCATATAATTTTCCCTCCTAGGATTGCAAAATTGGGGGTATGCTTCATTCTTGGATTAACCCAAGAAACATATTGTTGCTTATCCCATGAGAAAATCCAGTTCTTTCCTCATTTTTGGGGATTAAACATCATTAAACCCAGCAGTTTCTGGAATGACCACTCGCCCCTTTGATCATAAACCACGCAGGATGGTGTCCCCCAGTTATGTTTCTTGGTGTATAACCCCATCTAAATATAACTCTAAGTATCTATAAATATCATACACCAACTTGTTATAGTTCTGTGCACCAACTTAGCTAACCGGGGCCCATTAAAGAACTATCGGTCTCCTCAAATCCTGCCTGCTGCAACAACTCAGCAGGCACCGAAAGATCCAGCTTTGTGGGCCTCAGAAGAGTAGGCCATTTGGGGATTCCCTAAGTCATGGTGCTACCCCCAAATCATCAATGAAAAAACAGGATTTTCCATAATTTTCCACTGTAAACCATCCAGCTATTGGGGTACCACCATTTTAGGAAACTGCAGAAACCTCCAGTTTTATGTGTGCAAATTGGCAATTCTTATGTGGCATACAACAATGTATCAGTCATTACTTATATCTAGTTATGTAAATTAGTAACCCCATTTACGGCTGTTTAATTGGGAAGGTACCATAAAAAAGTATCAAATCATGACTATTGGCGGAACACCCCCCCTATTAAACCATGGTCTATTAATCCGGGCTTAACATTAGTAGGGTGATACACGACTTTGATCACCGAAAAAAAGTTGATTGATTCGGGTCGTCATTTAGGAGCCCTTTCTCTATGCTAAGTAAACGACCCCCGGACCCAAGAAGCTGAAAAATGTGCCATACAGCAGTATATAAACTGTTTTGGGCCAGCAGAAAATCGCTTGAAATTGGACTGCTGGTTTTTTGACATAGCTATGGAAAGTGCTCGTTTTTGGTGATCTGTAAATGGGCCATGGCTTCCAGTGAAAATCCTCCAAGTCACCCGGAACCCCCGGGTATATCTGGTTGGTTGGTGGTATACCTACCCCTCTGAAAAAAATGACAACTCGTCAGTGATGATGACATTCCCAACTGAATGGAAAGTCATAAAACATGTTCCAAACCACCAACCAGTAACTATGGGATTTCAACATCCGCAAGTTGGGATATAAGCTTCACACCTATGATGAACTATAACCCACAAAAATTAGTGGACCTGCACCCCCAAGTAAATAAGACTGGGCAGAACACTGCCAAATCTCATGGGTAAAACAAGACGTGGCTTTTCGATGTTTTTCGCAGCTTTCTGCTTGAACCTGCCTAAAGATATCTGGACAGTCAGGATTTTCATATCTTTGTCACTCAGGGTGTTCTAATCTCAATGATCTAATCATGACATATACCATCTGGTTATTTAACAGTTTGCCCAACTAGAAAATCACCATGCTATTAATAGGTAAACCATCTATTTCGATTAGGGCCATCTATACCATGGCTATGTTAGTCATAACCAGAGGGTAAGATTATAACATCTTATGTTTTTCCTGAAGATAGGATACCCGGGATTCCCCAAAGTTCATGTGGCTATCCCGGTGTATCCGCCATGATCTGAGAAACCCATCGCCTCAGAATTACACTCCGAAAACCAGTGCATACCCTCGGGTCAACTAACAGTTTGTGAACTGGAAAATGGCACATTTGTATCATTTGGTTGGGAAACTCTAAGTAGCTCCTTTGCTCCCCATTTAACAGGGAGGATACCCGTAGCTCCTTAGCTCCCAAAGTGTCGGTCAGAGGTCGTACCGATGGCACCGCGTCCTTACCACTGGATAGATAGTTGATTTGATTTACCTATACAAGAGGGTGATTTCCAGTTCGCAAACTGTTACTGGCTGGTGGTTTTAACCATCTTGAAAAATATTAGTCAATTGGGAAGGATTATCCCATATATTATGGAAAAATAAAATTCATGTTCCAAACCACCAACCAGAAGATGGTGATTTCCAGTTCGCAAACTGTTAGTTTACCAGAGGGTAAATTAGGTTCCGGACCCTAGCAGCTTCTCAGTGGCCTGGACTTCATGCACATGGCAACTTTTTGGCAACTTAAATATACGGGCAACACCCAGAAATTCTGAACGTGTAAAGGTCATCCAGATATTCTAAACACTACGGTGGTTTCAACCCCTCTGAAAAATATTAGTCAGCTGGGATGATTATTTCCAATATATGGAAAAATAGACATGTTCCAAACCACCAACCAGCTAATGTATGTGATTGTATGTGTTAAAACTCCAAACTTGTCAACTTGTGGACTAGTATCTGTTAAAATTTCAAACTCTTCGTATCAAACAGTATTAAATGGTGCTATTGGTCTTTCTGAAGTTCTACTTGTCAATGTCAGGTCAGGTCTTGGATTTTCTTGCTTCTCCACTGGTTGGGCACCTGCCACAGGTCCAATTTCACCTCGCAAAAGCTCACATTTTCACCACAAAAAACAAAGATCAAGATAAAACGAAAGAACAAAGCCGAGGGTAAATCCGAACTGCCAAAAGGATCCGAAAGGTAAATAGGGTACATCAGAACTAATCAGAACTCTAAGTGCCGCTTCAATGTGGAAGGGTGAAGCGCTCCAGCAAGTCGAATAAAACACCCTTGAATCGCTGGGACTATCCCAGGTTTTTTGTCCAAACAGGGAACCACCAGTGGGCAGACCACTACAAATTGGTCAAAACGGCGTCACTGAGTAAATCACCAAACTGAAAACATCATTGAGTAAAACTGTCTTTGGAATCTGTAAACCCAGAAAATGAAACACTTTCCCTTAATCGATTCATCAGTTGAAGTGCTTTTCCCAATCCAGGGTATCAGGTACCTGATGAATCTCATATTGTTATATATCGTCTTTTTTCCCATTACATAGCCCCATATTGTTGCATATATTATATATATACACATATCTGGGTAAATTATAATATTTCACTAACCTGAATAGTTGGGCCATTTGGGGATGATTTCCCTTACTAACCATGATTACCAGGGTTCGGTCGAACAGTGAGGTCGTGATCAAATTTACCCAGATTAATATCCCATCATTTTCATTGGGTAATGAACCATGCTATTCTGCTATTAAGAAAACCAGGTCAGTATATATTGGATAATGACACCAAACCACCAACCAGCTACCCCCTGGTAAACTAACATAACTATGGAAAATCACAGTTTTTAATGGGAAAATCCACTATAAATGGCCATTTTCAATAGCTATGTTAAATTACCAGAGGGTATATTACTTGTGAATAACTTCCCTACATCTCGCGCCCCAGGGATCCCAGGGCCGTTTTTGGATCCCACCTTGGCTCGTTCCGAGGCTTCTCTGCGACTCCAGACCTCTGTCGGACGTGGGCACCCCTACGTTGATGAAATCGCGAAATCGTTGGTTCAAGTAACTCCAATAACTATGCTTCATGATACTTATAACTATAGTATAACATAGTATAACTATAGTATTCATGGGGGTTACAGCCCAGTTTTAGAGTTTTATCCAATGTCCATTTCAGGAACTGATGTTTTGGAGGTACAGTACCTACAGTACACAGAGCCTATGTAAACGTCCAGTACGAGCGAACATTCAGGGAATATTGTCACAAAATAGGGCCTGAAAAATGGTACGCTAGCTCCATTCTAGGGTCCTGAAATTCCCACTGATTTATGGGCACCGGATTTTATCCACTTATTTTTTCACTTACTTCATTGGCAGAATGGATGGCGATTTTCAAATGTTTTCCAACATTTATTTTGGATGACACTTTTTGTGATTTGATGTGTTTAGTGACTTTATTGAGCGGAGTGCTTGAAGCAACATTTTGTATAGAAACAAGTGGCTTTATCCAACAAGTTCTAACATGGAAGATCTTAGAGAAACATGGACTTTTGTAAGGAGAGTAAACAAGAAACAACTAATCAAAACGGAGATTTTAGCCAACAAAAACAGGAAGATGGGGTAGACAGGACAATGGTTTTTTAATTATAGATCTTGGAACTGTGAAGAATTCCTGAGAAATTGCCACCTTTGGATGGTTCAATCATCAGGGAGCCTCAATGATTGAGGGACAGGGAGCCTCAAAATTCAATGGATTGGTTTAAAATCTACAGGAAACCATAGATTTTCCCATTAAATATGGGGCTTTCCTGTAAAATTTACCTTAAACCAATCCATTGAAAAATGATTTTGGTGACTGTGAATCGATGAGATAAACTGAAGGCGATATGTAGAATCAAATGATCGATGATGATCGATGGCGAGGGATATCAAGGACACAACGTCAGCTGCTTGGTCCAAATTTCAATGCCCACCTGGTTGGTGGTATACCTACCCCTCTGAAAAATATTCATCAGTTGGGATGATTATTCCCAATATATGGAAAGTCATAATCCAGTCATGTTCCAAACCACCAACCAGCCACATTTTCAACAATGGACATGTGGACAATGGGGGGTCACCCAGCTGCCCAAAGCTGCTAGAGCCTGGAGCCGCATGCTAGCGCCGCGACGTTCATCAAAATAGGGCCCGAAATCATGTGCTTTATCACGTATTGATTGGGTGTATTCACCATTTTCACAAAACTACACATTATTATTGTCGATTGCATCTCCCGTCATTTATATAAATATGTAATACATATATATATATATATGTATATATATATGCAGAAAAATGGTTTGGTTTATCTTCGGGTAACCCAAGATGGCAGGCATTTCACTATCTCTAGATGATTTTCCCATTAAACCATCCATTTGTAAAGGACTTCGCAGCTTGCTATTTTAAAATAGCGGTTGACTATCCCATTATATCCCCGTCTTTACCCTCTTGTTATTTAACATAGCCATGGAAAATGGCCCATTTATAGATGGTTTACCTATTAAAAAAGGTGATTTTCCATGGCTATGTTAAATAACCAGAGGGTAATCACCATGAAATCCCATAAATTCACCATCTTTTCCCGATGAAACCAGAGGATCAATTGCTCAACAACTCGGGCCTCTAAGAACGGAGGGTCATCAGGATGCTCCTCTGGGCGAAATCAAACGTGGCTGGGAAATTCACAAAACTATGGGGAAAGCATAGAAAATCATAAGAACATGTGGGAAATGGATTGGCCGTGAAAAAAAGATGCACAGAGGTATGGTGAAAATCGCCATTGGAACATATTGGAACCTTGACATCGACAGTTCGTCAACCTGACAAGGTGTTTTCAACTCGCCCCAGCAAGCTAATGAGCAGGAGCTAGCCCGGAATGTCATTTCACACTGTTTGGTGAATAGAGATTCCTAGTTGACTGTGACAATCCATGATCCTCAATATATCCTCAATATTTGATGGTATCCCCTGACATAAATCTATCATATCAGTTTCAAGTCTGATTGTACAGGATGGTGCCCCCCAGTCATAAGTTAGTTTATACTCCCATCTAAATATGTATATATATATTTATATTTATCCGTATCATACACTATGAATATGATACTCGTTGGTGGTTTTAACCATCTTGAAAAATATTTGGGAAGGACTAATTATCCCATATATTAAATGGAAAATGTTCAAGTCATGTTCCAAAGCACCAACCAATGGCTAGTTGTGTGCACCAACATTAGCTAACGGTTACTGGGGCCCCATCCAACGTACTTTGGCCCATGTCATTTTTCCCCACATCGAAGCCCCACGTCCTCCTGGGAGGCGGGAAGCGGGGTCTGGCACGCTGATTCGATGCACAACTAGTCATCTGATGGTTGAAAGAACTTAAATATGTGAAGCCCCCAGATATAGAGATTGATATTTCAGATGGAAAGATCTGGAGTTCAACAACACATTTAAGGATTGTAACGAAAGTACGGAGTTTTCGGGAAAAATCATTGGCAGTATCACAAGAAAACTGGGGATCTAAGGAGTAAACACAGCGCTGAAAAGTTCACTAAACTGTGAATTATCGGAAATTTGGGCGAATGTCCACCAGAGACGGGTACGACACCACGATTTAAACTTATTGATCCAAACCACGCTTGGAAACGCCTTTAACACAAAACTTATATTTATGAATCACAAACCTAGTGGCCAAGGTGATAAAGAACAACGTAGTATGGGTATAAGATTAATTCGTGGTACATGAAAGTCAAGTCATAGTAACCAACATTAAATCGTGGCTGGGGCCCCGTGTAATGTCCACCAAAAATTCAGGCAACAGTGCCATATCCAACAGCCTGATCCAACCAATTCTCCAGGGGGTGTCTGGTTGGTGGTTAGAAAACCATATCTTGAAAAATGATGGACTTCGTCAATTTGGTGTCGGATGACATCCCATATATGAAATGGGAAAATATTCAAGTCATGTTTGAAACCACCAACCAGATATAGTTATCTTATCCCATTAAATACAGTAGATGATTATCAAATTATTATCCCATGATTATCCTATTAATTGTCCCATGATTATCCTATTAATTGTCCCATGATTATCCTATGAATTATCCCATGATTATCCTATTAATTATCCCATGATTATCCTATCTGGGTAAATTATAATATTTCACTAACCTGAATAGTTGGGCCATTTGGGGATGATTCCCCGCAATCTAACCATGGTTTCCAGGGTTCGGTCGAACAGTGAGGTCGTTATAATTTACCCAGATAGTTATATCATGTTATATCTACCATCTGGTTATTTAACATAGCCATGGAAAATCACCATTTTTACTAGGTAAACCATCTATAAATGGGCCATTTTCCATGTTTATTGGAATTCCATTTGATACCCGGTTAAAGATTGATACCCGGTTAAAGATTTTCCGGTTAAGGATTTAAATTCTTTAGTATATATAATATATATATATAAAGTATATATATATATACGATATCTTATATATATGTATATATAGTATAATATGTATATATATATATACATTATATCTAATTATAATTGTTACTTACTGTAAATATATATATATATTTATGTTTAGCATTCTGCAAAGATCATAACGTATTTCGGAATGTATCCAAAACCGGAGTGAACCATCAAGTATGATCTAAATTGGCATGTCTGAACATGGCGTATGCCCCCACAATGGCCACTATAGATGGGGAAAATTATGACTAACCAGTAGTTTTGAGGCTACACCCATTGAATTGAATTTAATGGTGGAGATTTCCAGTATTATTGTGTTTAATCTGTATGTTCAGGCAAAGCCACTGTCTCATAGATGTCTTTTTCCCACTGGTTAGTTGATTAATCAGAGGTTCATCCCATTCAACAAACCATAAGTACTAGATGATAAAAAAACATGATAAAAAATGATGACAGATCATAGACTGGTTGGTGGTTTAGACCCTCTGAAAAATATCAGTCAGTTTTTTTTTTGTCACTTTGTTGCTGAGCGCAGTCGAGTTGCTTTGGAGAGGGCCCGAGTACCTTGCTCCTGCCATACATATGTACACCTATCCCTTAGAATGATAAAATATTAGTCAGTTGGGATGATTATTCCCAATATACCGGTATGCAAAAACAAAAAATGTGCCAAACCACCAACCAGTATACCAAACCAGCCCCTAATCAGAAATGGAGCAAAACACAAGTAAATCACCCCTTTGGCGGTGTAGTTTGGCTTACGCTCTGGTTATGTCAAAATAGCTATTGAACATGGGCCATTGATAGTTGATTTACTAATATATTTACATAGCAAACCTGGTTGGTGGTTTCAGTCCCTCTGAAAAATATGAAAGTCAATGGGAAGGATGACATCCCATATATGGAAAATAAAAACTGTTTGAAACCACCAACCAGACATATATAATATATGTACATAGTAAACATATTGAAAAAATGGTGATGTGGGGATGTCTGAAAATAGTGTACCCCTAAACCCAATGGTTAATGATCATTATCCCTATTAAATGGCTATTTGTTTTGGAATATACCTTATTTTCAGACAAACCCATGTTGCAGTTCGCTGTGTTAGTTTACCTATGGTAATCATCCCGGCGGTTTTGCCAAAGCCTGCACGGGCGAAGGATCCAGCACCTCAGGTTGGTCAACGTGGAGGTTTTCGGACTTAGGAAAATGGGGGGCCCCAAGCTGGTAGGTCAACGTGGTTCCCCAATAGAAATGGTTGGTTTATAATGGGAAAATCCATCAATAAATGGAAACGGTTGGTTTATTGGTTGGTTTATAATGGGAAAATCCATCAATAAATGGACATGGTTGGTTTATAATGGTTGGTTTATAATGGGAAAATCCATCAATAAATGGAAATGGTTGGTTTATAATGGTTGGTTTATAATGGGAAAATCCATCAATAAATGGAAATGGTTGGTCTATAATGGTTGATTTATAATGGGAAAATCCATCAATAAATGGAAATGGTTGGTTTATAATGGTTGGTTTATAATGGGCGGTAAATCCATCAGTAAATGGAAAATCCGACAATAAATGGAAACTGGATTGTTTATAAGGGAAAATCTATCTATAAATCCCCAAGCTCGCTGGATGGTTTATAATAGAAAATCCCACTAAAATGGATGATAACTGGGGGTACCTGACTTATGAATCCTCGAAATGGCGATTTTCAATGATTTTCATGTTTTTTTTCAAAGGTAACTTGATGACTTTAGGGTTGAGTCATGGAAGATCGAAGCAATCTACGGAAAGTTGAAGATCATTGAAGATCGAAGATTTCTCAGGCGCTTGTCATCTGCCAAGCCTTTTTCGAACATCAAGCATTCGCATTGGGGTATACCCCATTCTGAGACCCTCCTAAATAGGACATGTATTCCATTGAATATTCAAAGAAGGGCTCAGCTGACTCTCGGCTATAAGTATGTGAAGTGATCCTGGACTGCAGAGCTGTCGCCACCAAAACCTTGAAAGCCCCAAGTCACCACGGATCCATCCGCCAGAATAGCAGCAAATGAACAGTCTGTTGCCTGAAGCTGTTGCACACTCTTGAGCCGATCTTGGACTGCAGAGCTGTCACCGCCATGGCTTTGTCTGCCCCATGTAACGACAGATCCATCAGTCAGGATTGCGGCAAATGCAGAATTGGTGGCCTGAATCTGCTCTACACCCTTGAGCTGATGTTGGACGTCAGAGATGTCACCACCTAAGTCTGTTCTGCCCCAAGTCACTACTGATCCGTCTTGCGAGATTGCGGCAAATGCAAAATTTGTAGCCTGAATTTGCTTCACGTTTTTGAGCTGGTCTTGCACTGCCGAGCTGTTGCCACCAAGATCGCCCCATGTCACTACGGATCCATTTACCAGGATCGCAGCAAATGCAGAACCCGTTGCTTGAACCTGCTGCACAGTCCTTAACTGATCTTGGACTGCGGAATTGTCACCACCAAAGCCCGGATCACCCCAGGCAACAACGGATCCATCTGCCAGAATGACAGCAAATGTATCAAAGATTGCATTGGCGCACAGGCGACACCCCGAAGAGTGGCACACTGACACCAAGGTATGAGGCCCTAGAGCCCTGTTCCTCTGTAACGTTGATCCAACACACGGGACCTCACAAGAGCCAAGTGGTCCAGCACGGATCTGTCAACTGCGGATTGACCAACAGGCCAACCTAGAACTTTCTGAAAAGCATTGTCAGGAGTCAGAGGTCGCCCCTGAGCAAAAGCTGGGCATTCCCAAGCATGGTGAACCCATCCAGGGATGGCATCAGGATCACGACACCACTGACAATGTGCAATTTCACGGCGCTTCATACGGTCGTATCTGGCATCTGATACAACAGCACCGACCATGACCGCACGACCGTGCGTGTCTGCCTCCTGAAACAATTTTCTGGCACGTGTAATCCAAGCTTCATCATAGGCAGGGTTGCCAACAGCTTGGGAATCTCGGCGGGAACTGGCAAGGAATTGATCGAACAAGAGCCGTCTCCAAGTTTCACGAATGTGATGTTTTTCTTTTTCTCCTTCCGCAGGACTGAGTGGATGCGACCATTGGATGTCTACCTGAATATCAGAATGTCTCCAATGAAAGGCTCCAACTTCATCCCAGCCAAGGGATTGCAGCCAGGAAGTGACTGTATGCAACCAAGTGCCTCTGATGGTTCTTTGTGGCCACGGACGAGCGCGGCGGCGAACTTCAGTGGCAAGGAATGAATACGCTTGCATTGCTGCGCAGAACTCAGGGTGGAGACCATGGCCAGCCAACAAATAAAAAAGGTCTTGTGAAGCTTGGTTGTGCCCAGTTCCAGCAAGCTTTTTGACGGTGCCATTAAGAGCACGGACAGGGACTAGGCTCGTCCATGCCCCCCATGCCGCCTTTGGGATCACAATCGAGACCGCATGTATGGCTTTCATGCGCATGTTTATGGGCATCATTGCAACGCGGTTGAGGCGTGCTAGGGCCCCTTTGATTCGCTCGGCTTGAGTGGCTCTGTTGCTGTCTCCAAGCCTAGCAGTAAAATCAATGCCCAAGACGCGAGCTGCCGTGGTCACGTGGCGGTCAGAAAACCCTTCGTTGATGAGCTGCTGTCGATAAACAGCTCGTCTGGGGACAACTTTGGTCTTGTTATCATTTTCCCAAAGACCCACCTGCTGAGACTTGGATTTCCAGATTTGCCAGAGATGGTATGCTTGCTTCGGATTGCTGGCAATCATGTTGCGATCATCCAAAAAGGTCACCAGAGTACAGGCAGTATTATCTTGGGCAAGGACTAGATTGGTAAGCCCGGTCATAAGCGCCAGCATGGTCAGCGGGCTGGTGGCGTCACCTTGCGGCAATGATGAGGTGACAGTGACCGGAGCTTGCAAATATTCACCATTGTATGTGAGCCAGCGTTCTTGCTGCCAAACTTCTTGAAGCATTCTGAGCATCTGCTGAGGGCATCCAAAATGCCTCAGGCATTGAAGCCCCAAGGCGGGATTGATGGTATCGAAGCATTTCTGAAAGTCCAGGCTGAGCAAGATACCCCCTTTTTCGAATTTTTGGAAAAGGAGATCGACTGCCTTGGCGACACCGCTACCTTGCACGCCTCCACAAGCTGTAGGATGCACCCAAGAGCTGATCCAATTTCGAGTAGATCTACGTCTTGTCCAGGTGGACGCAATGATCCGCCAAATTGTGCATTGTATGCTAATTGGACGAAGGTCCTTGGCATGGATGGCCCCGTCGGCGGGCCTCAATTTTGCGTCCGGTTTTTGCAAATGCACTTGTCTGGTGGATTGCCAAACTGAAGGGACCTCTTGACGGTCCGTCCAGCGAGCTAAGAGAATAGCGAGATGTTCCCAAGCTTTCAATGGAAGCTGACTAATTTCACTGCCACTGAGGCCGTCAGGACCTGCAGCTGAACCCTGCTGCCGCAATGCATTAGCGTGAAGTTCTTTGCCCGACAGAGGTGTCCAAGGAAACTCAGGCCTAGAGGGGGTATGTTGCTGCCAGGCTTCAAAAGATTCGGAAACAGGTGGCATTTGGCGATTCCAAATGGTATTCCAAAAACTGTGGATGGCCTCCAAAGATTCATGGTTGGAGGCAGTGGCAGTATTGTCCTTATGGTTTGGGTCGTGCACTGAAGTGACAGGCAGATTGTTTTGTTTGCTGATCCATCGGCGCGCTTTGGCCATGTCCGTGCGCATGTTCTGTCGCCAGGTTTGGATTTTCGTCAAGCGATCCTGGCGCACGACTTCCTGCACTTCATGTTCTGCCCATTGTTCAATTTCATGCAGGGATTGGAAATCTTGATTACGCACCAAGGGGTGGTTCCAAATCCGATGCAACAAGACTGCGGGGATAGTGCCGTGGTGGGCCAATCGCAAGTTGGCTTCACGTACACGGCCCCAAAGTTTACGGGCTTTGAGCTCCCTGCATGAGGCATGCTGTTTGAGTCTGAATGTGGTAGCCTCAACGGGTCTGACTTGCAATGCACTACCCTTAGGACGACCCGCTTTGCTGTGGGTCTTGGCAGAAGTAAGCTCACATTGCTGCACGGCTTCATTGAAAGTCTCTTCAATATTGCCGCAAAATTCAATCCATTCCTGTTGTGTGGATGATTCTGCTGGGCATTCTGCATTTTGCCAAGCGGCTTCGAGGGCAGCCGCCCATTTGTCCGGTGGGACAGTTTCTGGCTTTGTCAAGTTGCGAGTAGGGACATGCTTGAAACATTGAACTTTGGCTTGACAATAGTTCAAAGTAAAACAAAGCGCTTTGTGGTCCGCCATGACAGTATGTGAAAACTCAACGGTTTGGATCATGTGAGGATGGGAGGCCCACATCCAGTCAATAGCACGGCGGCCTTCCCATCGTGTGGGAGCGGGAGTCCCGTCTTCTTGTCTGACCATTTGGCAAGCTCCGCGGTCAGCTAAGGCTGTCCAACGGTCAGCAAAGTCAGGTTCTTGGTTGAAATCTCCGCAAACGAAAATGGGCTCGTTATGGCTACAAGATGCAACCCACTCATCCAAGATAGCAAGGCTGTCATCAGCCGGGGTGCCACGAGGTGGTAGGTAAGCCCCTGCCAAGTACGCATGGTCAAGTTGCAAGAGAAGGGCCTGACCATCGTTGGCAACATGCCGTTGAACCAGCCGGGCACCTTTATCTTTTCTTACAAAACAAGCCACGCCGCCAATTGTGTACTGATGACCCCGAAGGTGTTGGATCGGTGGCACGGCCGCAAACCAGCTGCGATAGCCATGTTGGGTCATGAAGTTGGCGAGATCGGCACACTTGTCGGGCAACATGCAATGCTCTTGGATTATTGCGAATGCAGGCTGGTCTTGGGCAATCCAGCGGGCACAAGACCATGTGTTGTCTTGGCCGCCAGCATTGATCATGAGCCCAGTCATCATGGGGCCCGGATCACCTGGGCCCGGGTTTGGCTCGACGTCTCCATCTTGGCAGAGATCACGAATCCATTGGCATGGTTGCAATGGATGGTCTTTGCGATCACGAGGTGGTTTTTCGATGATGCTTAGCTCTGTTCTGGTGATTTGCCACGAATGGATATAAAAGGCTAACTTTTCTGCATTATTTTCACGCCGGCATACCATCCACATTCGTTTCCTACCATGGTTG